AATTCTGTCTTCACAGAGTTGCTGTGAGAATTAGAATGAAGCTGCAAAGCACTTAGATGGTACCTACTACCTAGTAAGGACGTGTGTGTGTGCACATGCATGCCCGCACGCGCGCGTGTAAGAAATGAGGCCAACCCAGCCAAGGGGGAGATAGATGTGTTATTAGGTCTTCATATATCATACATTTTTATTTTACTATTGCCTGATCACACACAGATTGCACTTTGTAGTTAAAAGGTCACTAGGTCATTGAGGAAAGAGGCATTTGCTTTCCCAGAAAACTAGAGAATTATATAGGGAGTGCTTAGAGGAGAAAAAGCATGAGGAGGAGAAACCACAGTGTTGGAGTTGACATCAATTTAGTTTCTAGATTTCATCAGTCTGTAAAAGTGCTTTGTATTTCTTTATTTAAACAATACTTATGGGTCACACATACACACAGGTAACCTAGTGAAATCTGAATAAGGAATGGAGGAGAAGGGAGAGGAAAAAAAAATTAAAAAGTTTTAAAAAACCTGAATAAGGTCAGAGGATTATCTCAATGTCCATTTCCTGGTTGTGCTATGTGACTATATTTATATAAGATGTTGGAGAAAACTATAGTTATATAAGATGTTGGAAAAAAACCCTGTCTCTACTAAAAATATAAAAATTAGCTGGGTGTGTATATGAGATTTCTCTGTATTGTTTCTCACAACTGCTTGTGAATCTACAATAATATCAAAATAGTTTAAAAATAAGTTCTAGTGTTCTACATAGCACTGTAGGATGACTAAACAATAATATGCTATATGCTTTCAAGTAGCTAGAAGAGAGGATATTGAATGTTTTCAACAAAAAGAAATGATAAGAGTTTGAAGTGAATTACCTTGCTCTGATCACTATACACTGTGCATATGTGTGTGTATTTTTTTTTCGACGGAGTTTCACTCTTGTTGCTCAGGATGGAGTGCAATGGTGCGATCTTGGCTCACCACAATCTCCGCCTCCCAGGTTCAAGTGATTCTCCTGCCTCAGCCTCCCAAGTAGCTGGGATTACAGGCTTGCACGACCACGCTCAGCTAAGTTTTAGTATTTTTAGTAGAGACGGGGTTTCTCCATGTTCATCAGGCTGGTCTTGAACTCCTGACCTCAGGTGATCTGCCCGCCTCATCCTCCCAAAGTGCTGGGATTACAGGCATGAGCCACTGGGCCCGGCCACATTGTATATTTTGAAACATTATGTACCCCATAAATATGTACAATTATTATATGTCAATTTAAAAATACAGAGATTTTAGGCCAGGTGCGGTGGCTCATGCCTGTAATAGCAGCACTTCGGGAGACCTAATTATCATTACTATTGTACGCTTGGTTGCCCAGGCTGGAGTGCAATGGTGTGATCTTGGCTCACTGCAACCTCCCGTTCCCGGGTTCAAGAGGTTCTCCTGCCTCAGCCTCCTGAGAAGCTGGGATTACACACCCAGCTAATTTTTACATTTTTAGTAGAGACCAGGTTTCACTGTGTTGGCCAGGCTGGTCTCGAACTCCTGACCTCAGGTGATCCACCCGCCTCGGCCTCGCAAAGTGCCGGGATTACAGGTGTGAGCCACTGCACCTGGCCTGAAGTTTTATACATTAAAATTATAAAAGCCTTTGGTGGAGTGAGGCTCTTTTTTATTTTGTGGAATTAAAAAATGTACGTGATGCCAGGCACTGTAGCTCATGCCTGTAATCCCAACACTTCGGGATGTGAGGCAGGTGGTTCACTTGATCCCAGAAGTTCAAGACCAACCTGGGGAACATGATGGAATCTCATCTCTGCTAAAAATAGAAAAAATAGCTAGGTGTGGTGATGTGTGCCTGCAGTCCCAGCTACTCAAGAAGCTGAGGTGGGAGGATCACCTCAGCCCAGGAGGTCAAGGCTACAGTGAGCTGTGATTGCATCACTACACGCCAGCCTGGGCGACAGAGAAAGAAAAGAAATATACATGATACCCTGCTGATATACTGGAATCCACCTTCTGAGGAAGTACTCTATAAACTCTTTAATCTGCCACACATTTCCAGCTATCTAAATTTTTCCCTGACACACACTGGAGGGATGGATAGGGGCAGGATTTTATCTTCAGAACAAAAATTAACTGCATGTTGGTTAAGGTGACCATGTAATTTATTGCTTAAACCAGGACACTTAAGAAAACCCTTTGTTAAAAAACTTTTTTTTTTGGGCCAGGTGCGGTGGCTCACGCCTGTAATCCCAGCACTTTGGGAGGCCAAGGCAGGTGGATCACAAGGTCAAGAGATCGAGACCATCCTGGTCAACATGGTGAAACCCCGTCTCTACTAAAAATACAAAAAATCAGCTGGGCATGGTGGCACGTGCCTGTAATCCCAGCTACTCAGGAGGCTGAGGCAGGAGAATTGCCTGAACCCAGGAGGTGGAGGCTGGGGTGAGCCGAGATCGCACCATTGCACTCCAGCCTGGGTAACGAGAGCGAAACTCCGTCTCAAAAAAAAAAAAAAAAAAATTTTTTTTTTTTTGAGATAGAGTCTTTCTCTGTCACTCAGGCTAGAGTGCGGTGGTATGATCTCGGCTCACTGCAACCTCTGCCGCCCGGTTTCAAGCGATTCTTCTGCCTCAGCCTTCCGAGTAGCTGGGACCAGAGGCGTGCACCAGCACTCCTGGCTAATTTTTTTGTATTTTTAGCAGAGACAGGGTTTCACCATGTTGGTCAGGCTGGTCTTGAACTCCTAACCCCAAATGATCCACCCGCTTTGGCCTTCCAAAGTTAGCATTACAGGTGTGAGCCATCATGCCTAGCCATTAAAAAAAAGCTTTTAATTGGAGTTTGTTCTAGATGCAGAATGCTGATTCTTCTGTTATGACACCTGTGAAACCAGCACCTGGATCGAGAAACAGAATGTTAGTAGCAGTCTTCAAAATCCCTTGTGTGTTCTGTTGGGATTCACTCAGGGTGGTTGTCAAAATATTAAGAAAACTATTAGGGAAGTTATAAGATTATAGCCTCAAACCTTTTGGAAGGCTGAAAGGTTTTAATGAGACTGGCCGAAGGCAGCCAGTTCTGAGCTAGAGCATTAAGTCTTAGGGTGAAGATTAGGATAATAAAAGCTTCCCCAGTTAAGTCTGTTTACCCCACATTTCTTTGTCTCTGCTCTGCTTACTCATGTAAACTTTGTGCTGGATGGCCCTCTCTGGGGGAGGACGAAGGGGAATTACTCATTCATGGTGTTTACTCTGGGACCCTGAACCAAAAGCTTTTATCATTCATAAAGCCACTCTTTTAACCATGTTAATTATCCACAAGTGTTAGAACCTCTGTTATTAATTCTATACTGAATAAAGGTGAGGAAGGACAGCAAGTAGGGGCCGGTTATCTGCAATCACCCTCTGAAGGCAGCTGATGACCATCCCTGGCCCACTTGATTCACTGTATCCCGGTGTGAGTGCATTTATTCACCTGCCACTGAGTCAGGGTCTGCAGGACAGGCCTCAGCTGGTGGTGATCAATGTCTTAGGTGGTGACCCTGACGTGAGCAATGCCAGTGTTCCACCATAGTTTCTATACCCTTCCCCACAAAGGCAACTACTATCCTGACTTTTCCAACACAGAGATGAGTTTGGCTGATTTCCATACTTCATATAAATTGAATTACACTATATATTTATTAATGTCTGGCTTCTTGGGATTGACATTATAGGTTGATTCTTATTACTGGGTCTAGTTCTAGTTATAGATAATTTCTTTCCATGGTGTAAATTTATTATTCATTCTATTGATCATGGGCATTTGGGAAATTTGGGAGAGTTTCCAGGCTTTGGTTACTATAAATAGTACTGCTAATAATATTCTAGTACGTTTTGGTGAACATATGTACATATTTCTTTTTGGCATATATCTGAGAGTGAAATTGCTGGATCATAAGGTATGCATAGGTTTACCTTAAGTAGATACTGCCAGATTTCCAAAGTTTTATTCTCATTAAAGCTCTCATCAGTAATACAAGTTCTGACTGCTGTATTATATTCATTTTGATACTGGGTGTTTTCCAGGTTTAGCCATTCAGATATGTGGTAGAGGTATTCTCATTTGGTTTAAATTTGCATTTCTCTATTGGATGGTTTAAAATTGCATGTTTTTCTATTCTTTATATTTCTTTTTCTTTTCAAACTAAGACTTTTTTTTTTTTTGTCTCACTCTGTTGCTGGAGTGCAGTGGTACTATCTCGGCTCACTGCAACCTCCGGCTCACAGCAACCTCCACCTCCCAGGTTGAAGCAATTCTTGTGCCTCAGCCTCTGGAATAGCTGGGATTACAGATGCATGCCGCAATGCCCAGCTAATTTTTGTATTTTTAGTACAGATGGGGTTTCACCATGTTGGCCAGGCTGGTCTTGAACTCCTGATCTCAGTTGATCCCCTTGCCTCAGCCTCTCAAAGTGCTGGGATTACAGGCCTGCGCTACTGTACCCGGCCAAACTAAGACATTTTTAAGAAGAAAGGAGACAACAGGCATAAATCAGATCATTAAGATTAGGAATTTGGTTTTGGATGTGATAATTTTTAGATGTTTGGGAAGCAGACATCATATGAAAATACCAAGAAGACATTGAATTATGCAGATCTGGAGTGTAGAAGGCAGTTCTCAGCTGGAGATATAAATTTTGGAGTCCCTGCCATGCAGACAGCATTTCAGAGAAAGAGTGAGTGGGATCACCCACAGAGTGAGCGAGGAGGGAGAAAAAGCCCTAGGACCGAGCCTGAGAGGCACCAAGGTTCATTCACAAGTTGGGAGGGAAGAAAATGCCAGCCAAGGACCCCCACCCCCCCTCCCCCGAAGGAGCCACTGAGAGGCAGGGGTAACCTGCGGAAGAGGGCAGAAGCAGAAGCCAAGGGAAAAAAGTTTCAAAAAGGGAGTGTCCAGTGTGTCAAACTGTTCATTTGTGGCAATTTAAAAACAAAGCAAAATACATTCTGTGTCATTTCGTCTCTTCCCTAGCCATCATCGTATACAGACTGCCATGGACCTGGAAATGCAGCAAGCTCCTGATGAAATCCATCCATGCAGGGTTAAATGCAGTTGCTGCCATTCTTGCAATCATCGCTCTGGTGGCCGTGTTTGATAACCACAATGTTAGTGGTATCCCCAATATGTACAGTCTGCACAGCTGGGTTGGACTGACAGCTGTCATATGCTATTTGTTACAGGTTAGTATGTCAGTGTATTTATAAGCAAGTTGTAAAAACAATTCAGGGACTATAAATGTTTTTCTTTCTTTCTCTCTCTTTCTTTCTTTCTTTCTTTCTTTCTTTCTTTTCTTTTCTTTTCTTTTCTTTTCTTTTCTTTCTTTCGAGACACAGTGTCACTCAGCTGCTCTGGCTGGAGTACAGTGGCGCGATCTCAGCTCACTACAACCATGGTCTCCCAGGTTTAAGTGATTCTCCTGTCTCAGCCTCCTGAGTAGCTGGGATTACAAGCACCTGCCATCATGCCCAGCTAATTTTTGTATTTTAGTAGAGACGGGGTTTCACCATGTTGGCCAGGCTAATCTTGAACTCCTGACCTCAGGTGATCAGCCTGCCTCAGCCTCCCAAAGTGTTAGGATTACAGGTGTGAGCCGCCACGTCTGGCAATTGTAAATGTTTTCTTAAGATTCTTTATATTTGTTTCTTTTATAAATATTTTCCCCTAAGAGGGCACCAGAATTGCAGATTTCCCAGAATAAAATAATAAGTAATAAAGATTTCCTGTACTAGGTATGACTTTTAATCTGGATTCTCTAAAAGCCAACTTATACTCTGCTCTGTATCTTAATATGTAAAATTAAGAAATATCAGTCTGGGCACACTGGCTCATGCCTTTGATTTCAGCACTTTTGAAGGCCGAGGTGGGAGGATCATTTGACCTCAGGAGTTCAAGACCAGACTGGGCAACATAGGGAGACTCTGTCTCTATAAATTTGTAAAGAGGAAGAGAGAGAGAGAGAGAGAGAGAGAGAGAGAGAGGCGGGGGGAAATATCTAACAATTAGCAATAAAGAGCACACCTATTTAAAAATCTGTGGGTCTTGGCTGGGCACAGTGGCTCACTCCTGTGATCCCAGCACTTTGAAAAGCTGAGACCAGTGGATCACTTGAGCCCAGGAGTTTGAGATCAGCGTGGGCAACAAGGTGAAACCCCGTCTCTAAAACAAAAACACAAAAATTAGCTGGGCAAAGTGGTGCACACCTGTTGCCCTGGCTGCTGGGGAGGTTGAGGTGCACAGATCCCTTGAGACCAGGAGGCAGAGGTTGCAGTAAGCCGACATTACGCCACTGCACTACAGCCTGGGCAACAGGGGCAGACCCTGATCTCAAAAAAATAAATAAAAATCTATGGGGTTTAATGAAAATAGTTCCCAGAGGAATATGGGCTTAAATGCTTTTATTGTATTTTTTGGGAAGAGAACTTAAAATACATAAGCTATTCATTTAGGTAACTATAAGGGAACAGCAAAATACACCAGGAAAAGTAAATTAATAAAGGTAAAAAAATTCATAAATAATTCATTTTGTATTATTGTGGTAACAAATCACCACAGACTTAATGGCTTAAAACAACATACATTTATTACCTCACAATATTTGCACATCAGAAGTCCAGATTGGCTTGGCTGGCTTCTTGCTCTGGGTCTAATAAGGCCAATATCAAAGTTTCAACCTGCCAGGGCTCTGATTGGGAGACTGGGGTAGAATCAGCTTAAAGCGAATTCAGCTTGTTGACAGAGTCTAGGTCCTTGCATGTGCAGGACTGAGGTCCCTGTTCCCTTGCTGGCCATCAGCTGGGGCTACCCTGAGCCTTGGCATCCTCTCTTCCTTGTACCCAGCTCCCTTCATCTCCCTGCCAGCAATGGACATCCAGTTCATCTTGCTGGCTTGGAAACTCTCTGACTTCTTCTCCTTCCTCCTCATCTCTTCTCTTCAACCAGAGAAAGCTTTTACCTACCACAACCCCTAGAGGTGACCATTCTTCTGGTGTTTTTTCTCATTCTCTGATTTTTTAAATACTTTTCTTACATACTGTGAATCAATACATTGATTAATTAAATAAGATGTTTCATTAAATAACACTGATTAAACAAGATGTTTTATTAAAGAATATTGATTAATCAAATAATATATTGTTCTTTTTCCCCATGGACATTCCTAAAATAATAGATTGTTTAATTTTGCTTTAAATGAAACTTTTTTGAAAAATGGTCTTATAGTGTATATATTCTATTGCAACTTTTTTCTTAACTCTCCTGATTAAACTGTATTGATTCCTCTGGCTATAGTTCATTCATTTTTACTTCTGTATTTCACTGTATAAATATGCCACAAATTTACTTACCTGTTCTCTTGCTATCAGACATTTGGGCTGTTTTCAGTTATTTTTTGTAGAAACTATGCTGCATTGAACATTAGTATATACATCTCCTGGTCCTCATATCTAAAGGTTTCTCTGGGCATATACATTGTAGTGAAATTACAAACTCAACCTAAAATGATACTAAATTATTTTCCAAAGTGGTTGACCCAGATTATATTCCTGCCAGCAGTTTATAAGAATTCCTGTATCCTTACCAGCTTGCATCCTCTTCAAACTTTAAATCCTTGCTAAACTAGTTGGCACTTAATGATGTATTCTTGTAGTTTTAATGTTCATTTCACTTGTGTTTTATCTTCTAAGAAATACCTGTTTGTTCGTTTTGTCTATTTAAACATATGTTTCTCTTTTTCTTAAAGAGTTATAGGAATTCTGTATCGCATTCTTTTTCATTTATATATATATTGCTACTTCTTCTAGTTTGAAGCTTGCATTTTCTTTTGTTAATATTTTTTGATAAACAGAAATTGTTCATTTTAATGCAACCAAATTAATCATCTTTTCCTCTGAGACTGTCATTCTTTGTTTTGTTTTCTTTTGGTGACTTGTTTATGAAATCCTTCTCTATCCTGAGGTCAAAATATTGTCTATGCTCTCTACTAAGAGCATTAAAATTTTGCCTTTTACTTTTCTACTCAAGTACACAGAAGAAACAAACCAAAAAAAAAAAAAAAACCCAGCATTATAAAAAATAAAGTTTTGTCTTTGCTATGTAAGTGCTTATTTCATCTGGAATTAATTTTAGTGTATGAGGTGATGTTGTGATCCAACTTCATTTTTTTCCAGATGGGTACACTATCTTCCCATCACCATGTATTGAATCGTCTCTGCCCCTATTTATGTGCAAAGCCAATTGTGTCCTATAGAGTATCTTATCCTCTGTATCCTAGCCAGCACAGTACAGAATTGAAGTGTGTAGAAGTGTATAGAAGACATAGGAATTAGAGAAGTAGAGAGAAAAATCTGACTTTTGGGGCCTTGGCTCATTCCCATAATCCCAGCACTTCGGGAGGCCTAGGCGGGAGGATTGTTGCTTGAGCTCAGGAGTTCTAGACTAGCCTGGGAAACATGGCAAAACCCCATCTGTACAAAAGACATAAAAATTAGCCAGATGTGGTGGTGCACACCTGTGGTTCCAGCTACTCAGAAGGCCGAGACAGGAGGATTGCTTAAGCCTGGGAGGTCAAGGCTGAAGTGAGCCGAGATCCTGCCACTGAACTCCAGCCTGAGTGACACAGCAAGACCCTGACTCAAAAAAAAAAAAAAAAAA